AGGAACGAATCAATTTCTGTCGCACGCTTGTCCATCGCTCCGCTCCTGGACTCGCGCATTCCGCCATCGAAGCTGGTTTTCTCGCGGACAGGAATTTTGAATTTCACGACTTGTGGGACGTGGTTCATCTAGACGAGAAGTGGTTTAATGCCGATAAAGACAGAAGAAAGGTTTACCATGTTCCTGGTGAGAAGCCCCGCCAACGAAGTTGAAAGAGCAAGCGCTTTATACCCAAGGTCACGTTCTTGGCCGAAGTGGCGAGACCTAGATTCGATGCTGAGCGTGGTGTTATGTTCGACGGCAAGATTGGTATGTGGCCGGCGGTCAAGTACCTTCCAGCGGCTCGTTCGTCTCGCAACCGACCTGCTGGCACGATAGTGACGACTTTGGCCAACGTTGACGCTACCTTGTACCGCGACTACGTCATCACACGTGTTATTCCCGCTATCAAGGAGAAGTTTCCGAGTACTCACAAGCATGTCATTCTCCAGCAGGACAACGCGACGCCCCATGCTGCCATCACAGACGAAGTCTTGTCGCATGTGTCGACCGACGGATGGCACTTCGTTCTTCGCCGCCAGCCACCTAACAGCCCAGATCTAAATGTGTTAGATCTGGGCTTGTTTTCGTCGATTCAAGCTCTACAATAAGGACGGTGAGTCGCACAATCGATGATGTGATTCAAGCGACCTTGGTTGCATTCGACCAACTAGAAGTCGAGAAACTGCAGAATGTGTTCCTGACGTACCAGGCTGTGATGAGACTTGTGCTGGAACATCATGGAAACAACCAATTTCGCTTACCTCGGAAGGGAAAAGATGCTTTGCGACGAGCTGGCGCCCTCATGGCGAATGTGTCCTGCCCTGCGGCGCTTGTGACCTGAATTTACAACCGTATAGATTTTAACCAATAACATGCATGCATTGTATCTTTAGAATAAAATGTCGTGACTAATTTGGAACAAGAGCGATTCTTATATGTCGACAGTATATTGGAACAGAGGATGTATTGACCAATTTCGCAAAATGGAGGATATTTTATCGCAATTAATTGCTGGATTGGACTAATAACAACAAAATACATTGCGTGTCTCCTACAGCAACAAGAAACCGAGGCACAACTTACAGAGACGCAAAATCAACTTGCTGCTAATCAACGCTTGATGCAACAGCAACCCCACCGGCTCCGCATCAGCGTGACCAAGAACGAAGAGTGGAAAGATTGTCTATACCGTCGTATCATGGAAATCTTGATGAAAGTATCGCATTGTATATCCACCGTGTTCGAACGTTCTTTACGGCGAAGAACCTGGACTATACAAACGGCTCTGAAATCGTGACGCGCGGCCTTGCGATGGTTGTGGCAAACCTCAATGGCAGGCGACGGCTTGGTATCAGGAGTTGGCTTCCCGCAAAGCAAGCAGCGAAATCACAGCGCTTGTGGAGTTCGAAGAAGCAATTCGCGAGGAATTTTATCATGATGACCTACAAGAACGGTGGTTCGATAAGCTCATTGGGTTGCATCAGAGAAACTACAAGGACATATAGCTCAATGGTACTCTTGGAACTGAGTGGACGAAAATGTCAAGCTGTACGTCGCAACGTGCAAAACCTGTCCACGCTATAAGTAGAGCAGTACCAAAGGCAATGGCCGAATGATCCCAATCAAGTCTCCTGACGAAAGCTGGCATACAGTTTCCATCGACTGGACACTGATCACCCTGTTTCCAATGGCAAAGATTCAATCATGACTTGTGTCGACAAGTCATCGAAACGGCCAAAGTACTGCGTCACGATGTCGAACATTGATGCACATCAAGCTGCAAAGGGGTTCTTGGACTCTGTTGTCCAGAACCACGGTTTGTCTGCTGTCATAGTTAGTGATTGAGATCCAAAGTTCACTAGTCAGTTTTGGCAAGCTTTGATGAACATCATGAACGTAAAACACTACATGACCACGGCCGGGCGAGCGCAAAGTGATGGAGCCACAGAACGGCAAAACCGAACTTTAGAAGATGCTCTACGTTGTCAAGTGTCCTACTTGGGTCACGACTGGACTGAGCATCTCGGAACCATCGAGTATGCTCATAAAGGACTCGTACAATCATCGACGGGAATGATTCCCTTTGAAGTTGATACTGGCAGAAAGCTTCGTAATCCAGTGTTGAATGACATATTGGCGCTGAACGCTGGCAAATAACTTTGCTGAGCGACGCAAGGAGTTGCTAAAGATGGCCTTGGACAACATCAAAAAGGCTCAAGCTCGCCAAAAGGGATTCTATGATCGCAATTGAGCAGTAGTGGAGTCTAAGGTCGGCGGCAACATCATGCTGGCTACACGCGATATTCCATTAAAGCATGCACAGCTACTCGACAAACGAGAAAAGTCAAAGTTCGTACCACGATTCATTGGTCCCTTCCAAGTGACGGAAGTAATCAACTCAAATGCGATGCGGTTGGCTCTACCTGCGTCAATGCGGCGTCTGCATAACGTCTTCAACGTTGACCGGTTGAAGCGTCACGTGCCAAATCCAACTCGATTCCAACATCGTCCGATTCCGAAGGCTACGCCTCATGTCCTGGACGACAAGGGAAATGAGCTCTTTATCGTAGAAGCATTGCTAAAGCAACGGCAATTCAATCGTAAGAAGGAATACCTTGTTAAGTGGCATGGTTTGCCAGAGCACGAAGCAACATGGGAGTTGGAGCGAACAATTAAGTACGTTAGGCAATGTAAGAAGCTTGTCCTAGACCTACGTGAGAACACGCGAGAGACCAAGGCGACATAAGGGGGAGAATGTAGTGACCATATGGATCTAACTAATGATGTCGTGACGTCGAGTGTGTGTGGTCGGTATGAGACGGCAGCTAGCGGTACCCGCACCGGCACAACCGCAACCGCTGCTCTACATTGGAGCTTGAGTATTGCTATGTGATCTTTAGCTAGCACACTTTAACGATGCCAATCGAATCACTTCCAATTTTCCTCTGCGCTATTAACTACCCTCCAGAGGGGGTGGTGGGCTTGGCGTGAAGTAGTTGATGAGCGGTATCGACGCCGCCTGCTCTTCCTGCACACATGGCGAGATTGCTTTCAGGGCTGGATTCACCGATTCTGGACGCCGTGTGAGTCGGCACACTTGGAGAGATCGTCCTCACCGTGCATGGCGTCCACAAGGACGAGCTGACACATCGGACGACGATGCCAGGTCGGCCGATGCCAACGAAGACGACAGGGCCAGTCACTTGGAGCTGCGTCAGATGCGGTGAGATGTACAGAACACACAGTCGTGGTGCGGCGGCATTCTGGGATGCGTTGCGATGTAGTCGACGGGCTGAGAGGCCACTTTTCACGAGCGTGGATGGACGTGACATGATCCTAGCTGCCCGACGACACCCAAGTCATTGCGATCGACCGGCCCGGACTCGCATTTTCGGCCCCCAGTCCGTTCGCTCGAACGTCCGACATGGTAAGGGGCGTCCATGGTCTCTCCATCCAGCCAGGTCACTGTCGGCTATAGATTTCAAAGGA